GAGAATAATATTATATATATATATATATATATATATATATATATACACCTCAAATAATATGATAATTGAAGTCCAGAAATTAACAAAATTGTAGAATAAGATAATACGTAAGAGAGTAATAAGATGAATACTTACAGAAAAACTACAAATGTTTCAACTATTTATCGATCTTCTTTCATAATTCTCAAACTCCAAATCTTCCTATCTAAGTTCATATCCATAATAAGCCACAAGTATATCGTAACTTATTTAATCATCTTTCTTTATTCCTCTCCTCATAGGACATTATTTTACTTTGTAAGATGTAACCTTCAAGGGCTAAATAAAAATTATAATAGCTATGGGTTGGACAAAGTTTTAGTTAAATATAGTAAAAATATATATATAAATTATAATTTTTTTCGAACTTCGAGCTTTATACATAAACTATTACTATCTATATATTTAAACATATATCAACAATCAATTATTTACTTTTTCTATTAGAATAATCAAATATCATTCACATATATCAACAATCAGTTATTTATTTTTTCTGTTAGAATAATCAAATATCATTCACGTAGACCCTTTTTATGATCATTTTGAAGACATAAAATCCATTTAAAGCCTATATTTGCTATCCATGTATATTTATATATATATATTGACTCATTGACAACTGACCAAAGAAATTAAATTCCTGGTCTCCCATAATTTAATAATAATAAAGATCTAAACGAAAATAAAAAGATTTTTTTTTCTTTCAAAATTTCAACTGCAGACATTTTACGACAAAGAAAAAAAAAGATAGTATAAATTTTGACCAAGTACTATTAAATTAATGTCAATGAATGGTGTGTTTGTTAGGGAGAAAAATATTTCTTTTGAAATACTTTTAATTTTCTTAGGTTCCTTAATCAAAGTATTTTTATTTATATAATTTAAAAAAATACTAAGAGTAAATATAATATATAATTTCTAAGTGACATTTTACGTTAATTGTCTTGTGTTCCCACTTCCATCATTTTGCCCCCTTGCTCTCCTAAGATCCCACCTCTGGATTATATCGGTGGATTTTATAATATTTATTTAGATTATATATAAATATATTTTTTTACTTTATTTGTGGTCTATTTAACTCATTTACCATATTTACTCTTTTTTGGCTTTAATAGAAGATATTATTATAATATTTTAACCAATGGTAGCATTCTAAGCTATTTGAAGTATTTTCATGATTAGTAAAATCAACTCTTTGAGTTGATTTAATTTGCTTCTCTAAAGTAGTGGTTCATGTATATATACAACAATTTTAGACAATTAATAACTTGGAAATTGCAATCATTAGCAATATGTAAGTGTAAAAGAGTGTCGTCCGCTCCATAATATAAGATCCATATATATTCTATCTTTTTTAAATCTCACTCGTAAATGTTTTACTTTTATTTTTGTAGGTCCTAGAAAGTAACAAAATGGACCATTGTATCAAATATATTTCTAAGCAGTTTTGATTTATGTAGATTTGTCAAATATTTAATAAATTATATCTATTAAATTTATGGAAACTCCAAAAATTTTTTTAGCAAGAACTCATATTTAGAGCCTTAGAGGTGCAATTTTTAGAATTTGATGAAAAATATATTGATACCCCTCAAATCAAATAGATAGAGTTTATTAAATTTTATACAAATTAATCAAAAGTGATTATTTGAAAGTAACTAGAAAATATAATTATTAAAAACCTAACCCCATAAATAAAGGACCATTTTTGCTTAATAGGTTTGGTCCATGTTGAGTTTGAATAAATTAGTGGTGGTTGATCCCATTTCAATGAAATTAATGTAAAAGTATTCAAAGTCTTTAGAACCGACATTTCTAGTTATAATGAGAACTAGATACCACATGGGACGGGACGAAGTTTTGGAGCAACAATAAAGTTATTTTTGTGTGATTTATAGATTACGAATTCGAACCGTGAAAGAAATCACTAATATTAACATTAGGATAAATTGTTTGTATCATTCTCCGTGGGATATATACCCTTCCATAAATCCTGCTAACATGAGATATTTTATGCTTCGAATTATTCTTAATTGATACAGAACTCATAAACTCAAAATGTTAGCTCTATATAATCTTAGACTCATGGGTCAATGCTAGGGTCAATTTTTTTTTGTCTTTATGTTATCTATATATTATGAATTCGATCAGTGAAAATAATCATTAATATTCACATTAGGATAGATTGTCTATATCATATTACTTCGAGATGCCACCCCTTTCCAGTCCTGCTAACATGAGATACTTTATGCTCCGAGTTATCCTTAATTGATATATAGAGCTCATAAACTCAAAATGTTAGTTTTATCAATTGATCTCGACGCAAGGGGCAATCTTAGTTGATGAAACATGACCTCTTTCTTTTTTTCTTTTTTTTTCCACTCAGTATTCGATACTCATATTGAAGTCTAACTAAATCTGAATTCATTTTTTGTTCCACCCGATGGTTCAAAACTACCCACATTAGAGTCCGACTAGATACAAATTTGCGCTAGAAAGTCTTACATTAAGGATAAAACGTTTCCTAATAAAAGCGACTGGAGAACTCAAACCCAAAACTTACAAAATAAAAAAATTCTTACCATTCCACTACCGATCTGCAAAACATAACCTCTTTTCTTGTTAATTCATGTGGTCCAAATATGTCCAAAGACAAGAAGGGTATGTGACAAGGATGTTATAGTTATTATTAACTACAATTTAACATTTAAAAGTTAGATAAAATGTTTTAGTCTAACATTTAAAAATAAATACGGAATAATTTAAATCGATGGTCATTAGATTTACTTTTTTTTTCTGTTCAACAAATGCATTTCATCAATTCTCTAAACTTCATAATTTATACTATACATAAGTCACTAAACTAATTATTTATATAAAATTAAAGTCATAAAACTAGTTTTATAACGATAAATCGATCCCCCTTCAATGTCTTCTGAGTCAAGCCTGTCTCATAGGGCTTGCTTAGTGCGATTTACATTTACTCTGTGATTTGCAGGCTATTACACAGTGAAAAATTTGCACAGTGCTCACCACATATTGATCACCCGAAGGACAGAGACTGTGACAGAGATTGTAGCGGCTGCGGATTATTCTGGAGTTCCAAAAAAAATCTATAAAATAACTAAATTAAATGTCACGTTACGTGGCATGTACACGGTGACAAATTGATATTCTGGCGATGACGTGTCATTTTCAAGCCAGAAATTTGATTTTTGAGTGATTTGTATTTTTTGTTGGGATATAAGTGAAATATCTATTTCGAATATGATTGACGTTTCATTTTTTGTTTTTGAGTTATTTATTATATTTATTTAAAGTCTATGGAATCATTAATTTGATAGAGTGTATTTGCACTTTTTTAAAGTTATTCAAATACTTCAAAAAGTATTTAAAAGTTACTTTAAGTTAACTTAAAAGTATTTTAAATAAATCAATCTATATATACTCTTAAATTGATTCATTCAAATACTTCATTGTTATCATTCAAGAATGGGATATATTACTAAATTTACTCTCTTAAATCATAAACATGAATAATAAAAAATTTTAATAGATAGCATCGTTTGCTACAAATTTCAAAGTAACAAGAAATAAATTATAATTACAAAAAAAATATGAATATTCATTGATAAATCAATATTCGTATAAATTTGTTCCTTCAATTCATTTTTTTTCTCATAAAATCTATCTATAATACGATCATTGATTCTTTTCTCATAAGATTTGTATCCATAATTTCATCCTTGATTCTTCTCTCATTAAACTTATCGTAATGACGTCTTTTCCAAATTAAGCATGATTTGAATTTTCTTTGTGATTCGAAAACTATTAGTTGCATATTTTCAAACTTGGATGATTTGAATTTAATAAATAAGTCTCGAAAAATTCTAATGAAAATCAAATATGTTTTATAGAGTCCAAGTAGAATTAAACACGTCAATACTTAATGTCTACAAGCACTCCTCCAAAATAAATTTTTTATTCTACAAATGGAAAATTCACAACTATCCCCTCAATCTATATCTAAAATCTCAAAAAAACACTTATACTATACTAAGGTCCTATGATTCCTGAACTTGTTTTATAAGTAATATTTTACCCCTTTTCTGTCTACGTGACATTAGCTTGAAAAAATAAGTCAACCAGTATTGAGTCCACAAGATAGTATCACGTAGACAGAAAATGGGTAGAAAATTATTAATAAAATAAGTTCAAGGGTTATAGGACCTTAGTATATTATAAGTGCGTCTGTAAGATTTCGGATATAGATTGAGAGGATATTCCTATTATAAATTTAAATTAATCGAACTTCAATACTATACGAAATTGAGAAACAAAAGAGTACCCCAGTAACTTTTACTGTTTACGAAAAAACATGTGCCACCCAGTGAAAACAGAAAAAGGAATCTGACAAATTGCTCACACAAAATTTGCAACTAACTCCAATATAGCTAAACCCACCACTAGTGCGCTCTAGCTACACACACACACACAAATTCAGTTATCTACTCCATTTTCACTTTCACTTTTTTTTTCTTCTATATTAGCACACAATTTCTCTCTCCATCTCCATTGATATTTTCAAGCTCTGGTTATCTGCATTTCGCATAATTATTACTCTGAGATGATGATCAGAGATAAAATTTTGAAATTGCATCACCGGCATAAGTCATCGTCTTCTTTTTCGGAGAAATCTGGACATAGATTTGACTTCTCCTTCTCCAATCTACAAGCTCGACAGGTCTATCTCTCTCTCTCTCTCTGTTTGTATTTTGAGTATTTCGAAGTATAATTTATGTATAGTATGAATATGAGTTATACAACCGTGTATTATGTTGTTTGATTGGTTTCACTATTTAGATGCCTGATATAGTTTTGAAATAATTTTAGTTTTTCAAGCAAATTTATCAATGTGTGTGTATTATGAGCTCGAGGTATAATTTACAGTTTAAGTACGGATTATTGAATGTGCAATTAGCTCATGAAACTGAACTTTTCCTTGCTGAATTAATCAGTGTGTGAGAGAGAGACTGGTATTGTGACTCTGAGTATCTCGAGTTTAGTTAGGGAAGTGTAAAAATTGAATCGATCAATAAATTGAATAAAAAATATTGTTGGGTTATTGGGTTTATAAAAAAAAGTTATTAGGTTATTGATTTGGTTTTTACTGTAACCCAATAAGATGATAATGATTTATGACTTTTCCATTCCTAAGTATTATATATTAATAATTTAATACATGACTAGACATTATAACTATACCAAATTATTAGTACTCTATCCACTTCACACTAGGTTCGCAATTATAACTATTTGATTTTAGTTTTAGTTTAGTCTCGTTGGACTATTTGATTATATTTTTAGTTTGTAATTGTAGGTTGTACCTTTTGCAAGTTTGTACAGGTTTGTAATTTGATTAACATAAGAAATTTTATTTTATGTTTTGACGGTCATGACATGTAATTACAGCTTTTGAACTATTTTTTCTCTTATTAATGTAATTTTATTATCTTTCTTGTTTCACTCTATCAAAGCATTTAGAGAAGTGAGAATCACATAATATGGATATTTTCTTATTGGATAAACCGAAAACCGAACTGATAATAAACAGAAATCGATAAACTGAAAATCGAGTAAAAAAATCTTATTGATTTGTTATTGGATTAGCATATTTAAAAAACAAAAACCATTGAATACATAAAACCGAACCAAAGTGATCGATGCATACCCTTGTGAATTTTAGAAGAAAAAAAAACTTGAAGCAATTAAAATCAGTGTTGTGTGATATATTTGGATTGTTCTTATTCATGTTTGATTCTGTGTGTAAGTTACCGTTTCAGCTAAATGTTATTTTGGCAGAGTGTGTTGATAAAGTAGAGCATAAGTGCATGTGCAGTTTATTCTAATACTTTTTCTGTAACATGTGATCTTATTTGGACATATCTGTTGGATAGGCTGGAATTTATCTTCTTCTGCAATATTTTATAGTAGAAGTCTTTTGTTATTTGTTCCAAGTCACAGAAAGCTATTAGATAGCCATAACTTTGTTGATTCATCGAAATTATACTGGAAACTTTTACTGAAGAAGTGAACCAAAACTGATGATATTTAACACGGGAAATAGGGAGATGAGTGTAAGTAATAGTTATACATGCCTACTTGAGCAATTGAAATGATGCAAGACTATAGTTGGACTAGAGTGAGATGTTAAGCAAACTTCTGGATATGATAAATCTAATTTCAAAACAAGAACCAGCAAACTAGTAGCTGTATACAACCAGACGGCTGAACTAGTCGAAGTAGGTCAATCAACTAATGGAACATTCAATTGCTTTTGTTCAGCATTTGATTCTGGAAGATGAGTAACACTAACAGAGGTTCGAGTGGCATTTGTGTGATGTATCATGTATGTATGGGCTGTGAACTTGGTTGTCCATTGTCCATAGTTTCTTTTTTTCCTTAGTCGCGGTAAATGTGAAAATGAAATTTGTTAAAATCCATTTGCTGCCATGCAAACATCTGAGGCATTTTTTCTCCTAAATTTACATGAAAAAGGGATTACAGTTCTCCTCATAGTTGGCTGGAGACGAGGAGAAAGAAACACCAGAAAAACATATTTTGTTTTTGGAAACAATGGAATGACAAATGCTCCAGAATTGATGTAACCAGTCTGTTACTCTGGTATTATTAGTAATAAACAATTGAACTAGGAACCATGTCGCAGTATAAGCTATATGTACAACGATACGAATAAATGATACATATGGAGGTGCACGGAAGGATTAGTACCTGAATTCGGAAGTGCAAAACACAAAAATAGATCATAATAGCTTTGATTGACAGTACACAAGGAAATATATATAAACAACACATAAATATTTCTGGGATATAATAATATTGGACAATGTAGGAAATGTGACTCATAAAGGAAACAGCCTTAAAAAAATTTAGGTCAATTCAGTACCATATACACCGTCTTGTCTCGTCTTACATATTCACTATAGACTCTATTTTCCTCTTGGATTTTCACTTCTTGCCTCATTTCTAGCTGAGGTTCTGCCGGAAACAGCCTCTCTACCTCGGAGGTAAGGTCTGTATACACTCTGCCCTCCCCACACCCCACTTGTGGGATTACACTGGATATGTTGTTGTTACCTCATTACATGTTTTAAAAGATCCAATCGTTGTTCTTGAAAATTTGTAATGTTTAACATGGTGAATTAATTACCCTGCTTTCAGTATTTGTGACTGAACAGATACTCTTAAGATAATGACTAGCTACAAAATCCTTTTCTCAAACTGCTTATATCTATGGAACATTTTTTCAATGTCTATATTTCTTTTACTTGTTAGATAGAATTCAAAGACTAATCGTTCTAGCATTGACGTCTCAATGGCCTCGCTATCATCATCTTGACTGAAAATTTACATCTGATTTCAGTTTATCAGACTTTCTATGGGTTTGCTTCCCTCAGGTACCTAAAGGATGGGACAAACTTTCCGTCTCTCTTATCTCTGTAGAAACAGGGAAGACAGTCAGCAAATCAGGGAAAGCCTCAGTACGAAATAGTAATTGCAAATGGACGGAAACATGGTCACAGTCCATGTGGATTACCGCAGATGATATTTCAAACAACCAAGAGCAATTCCCTCTCAAGTTTATTGTAACAATGGTCAGACACCTTCCTATATTTCTATCTGTTGAAGTTATCGGTTCAATAAGCTTTAAGCTTACTGAATTTGCTACATTTAGCTCCTAGTTTTCATGTTTATAACATCATCAGTTTTCTGTTTCAGGGATCTGCAAGATCTAGCATTCTCGGAGAGGCTTCTGTAAATCTTGCTCGCTTCAGAGATGCGAAAGCTTTCACTCCAGTTTCCTTACCTTTGAAAAAATGTAACCATGGCACAGTTCTACAAGTGAGACCTCTTCTAATACTTTGATGTTTGCACTTTAAAATGCAAAACGTCATCTAGTAATATCCTATGATTACCATTTCATTCCTGCATGTTAATTCAACATGTTCAGGAATCACTCTTTGTAGACCCACCATATCGTATTTCACCAAGATTATATGCTTCTTTTGCAATAAACAGGTTCATCTTCCGTTACTCAAGTGCAAAGAAACTTCTTTTTTGTTCTTTTCCGTTGCTTTACCTGGTACAAATAACCTAATTCTCTAACGAATGAATCAATCACTGCTATTACCTTAGGTTCTTGGCCTATATTTCATTCAGGAGCATGTTACCTAAAGCACACCTGAGTATATAATACTCTCAGCTTTTGGCGTTATCTACTATCACTGATTCAATTTCTTATGTTTCTGCAGCTGGAGATCAAGTGTCTGACATCAATCAGGTTTGTCACTAGAACACAACAACTTCTTCCTTAGTTTTCAACATTTCGGTAACTTTTTTTTTGTGTCCATAGTAAAAAGAATCAGTTTGAAATCGTAGGGATAATGAATCCAAAGACATGCCCTTCTATGCTGAAGAAGAGAACATGGAATACAATAACATGGAACTGAAATCAGAGGTATCTAACTATCTAGTCAGAAAGCTTTATGCATCTGTTGATATACATTAGGATATTATATGAGAAAAATCTTGTTATTGAACTAATATCCAAAAATTTGATTTTTTACCCAATTAGAACTAGTATTGTACTTAAGTTTGGAAACTAGGCCTTAAATGGAAAATGGTTAATAGAATGATAGATTTATGTCCTGTCTTCATTTTCAGTGTTGGCCAAGTTTGAGTTTTGATCTAACGCTTTCAGTCGGTAGTCAATCTAGAACCATCCAGATAAAAAAGTCCACAATTATTGTATTTAAAGAGCTGGGAAGTGGCTGAAGTGTTGCCTGGAGCTCATTCTTGAATGCAGCTTTAGTAGTTAAGACATGGCATGGGACATGGACACAGACAGACATACAGACTGCAAATTTTTAAAATAAGGGACATTACAAGAAAGCCAACTATAAAATCATATATATAGACCAAACAACTTGAATAACTGAAATCACCCTCAAATATCAGAAGTTGAAGTATATTTCTCATAATTATCAATGCATGTCTTCTCTTAGAGATCTTATTTTACTTGTATCAATGGTGCATTTACTTTGTTACTTTATCTTCTCTATCTTCCTCTAGAATTTAAGCTAGGTTATGCTTTCCCAACAGGAAACAAGTCTTCCACGGCTGAGTTCATATCATAGCTTTGCCTCTACAGAGGATTCATTGGGCAGAGAGAGTTTTTCATCCCTGAGTGACTCAAATAGGCATGGCAACCTCATAATTGGTAGACAAGAATCAATTGATTCCAGGAGTACTGCATCCTGTGGTTCTTACTCTTTTTGTGAATCACCCAAATCGTACAACTCTCCCTATAATTTAATGATCTCGGGATCAGGAAAGAATGCTCAAAATCAAAAAGATGATTTCAAACAGTTCTCACATGATAACACCGCATCAGTGCAACTTTCAGCTTCCTCTAGAAACTCCTTACCGGCCAAAGATACTTCCACTAAAGAACTAATTGCAGAGGCCATGATGTGGGAACAAAATGCTCACAGATTAAAGATTGACTTGGAAATGTCAAGGAAGGAGTTTGCTGACCAGACACAGCAGATAGAGAACCTTAAGATGGAGCTTTGTTCATTGGGTACAGAACGTGATGAATCGATGCAAGAAATCAAACACCTTGAGATCCTTTTACAAGAATCCATGGAAAAGGAAAAAGCAACTGAGAGTTTATTGTTCCGAGTCAGAGATATGGATAGTGTTGAAAAGATTTTAAAAGAGGAACTTAGGATTCAAAAAGAATCAAATGACAATATGTCTTTCCAGCTAAGTAAAACTCAAGAATCAAATATTCAACTAGTCTCTATTCTGCAGGAGATGGAAGAAACTGTTGAAAAGCAGAACTTGGAGATTAAGAACCTTTTAGAAGTAAAGTCGCATTCTGAGAACCTAGAGGACAAGCTTCAACAGTTGCAGGAATCACAGAAAAATCTGGAAAACACCACTCTTCATCTGGAGAAAATCATCAGGGAGAAAACTCATGAGATTGAACTTGAACGAGATCACAGGACTCAGGCTCTTATAGATTGTGAAGAAAAATGGAAAAATAGATCAAGAGAACAAGAAGAGGAAATTACTTATTTGAAGGTAGAGTTATCCAGGCTTTTAAGTATCGAGGGTTCCAAGACAAGTGAGATCAAAGCTGAAGCTGACTGTGATCTGATCAAGGAAAATGAGACTCTCAAGGAAAGACTCCAGGAACTTGAGAGAGATCGCAAGGAGCTGACCGAAGAAAATCTGGAACTTCTGTACAATCTGAAATCAAAGGGAACTTCCTCTATCAGTGATTCCATTTTAAGATCATCTTCCGTTGACCATCAACTAAGTCAACAATCACCTAGTGGTTCCGAAAGTAAGCAGAAAACCTGTGATCAGGAAGAAAACTTAGCTCTGGAGTTTCATTCACAAGTTAAGGACAATGCTTTGAGGCCAAATGCTGAAATCAACTCATGTTGCGTTGAAGTACAAGAACAAGATCAGAGAACTGAGGTTGCTGCAATGCCATCAGAATGTCAGCAGGAAGGAGATTGTCAAGATGGTTTCATTCATAAAAGTGTACCCATAATATTTCAGAGTTCCAAGTCAGGACATATTGAAGATATCTATACCCTACTCAACACATTATGTAAGTATCTAGCATGTTTCTCGTGCAACAGGGTACAAGACAAAAATGTCCTCCTTTCACTTGTAAAAACTGAGTTTTAAAATGCTATATGTAATTCAGATTTTTGTGAATGTACAGGTCATCCCGCTAAGGACGAGCAAGCTAATGCAGTGTTGGAAAATTTCCAGTTATTGAGGTACAGGTTGGCTCTATATCTTGATGGTAGTCAACATATCGAGGATGAACCCAAAACAACATTAAAGGATGCATGTGAAGTTCAAGATGAAGAGAAAGATGACCTTCCAAAGGAAATTACTCCTTGTTCTTGCTGTGAAAGGTTTGAGGATTTAAATAAGGTGCTAGAGGGGAAGATTCAAAATTTAAGTAGTGATAGTTTAGCTAAGAACTCGGAGATACTGGAGCTGAAGACAAAATGTTTGAAAAAAGATGCAGAGATCGAAGCGCTAAGGAATCATCAGACTGATTTGAGTTCTCAAATCTCTGATCTCCAGATGAGTAAATGTCTGATGGAGGAGAGAATGGAAAACTTGCAACAAGAACTTAGCGCCACCTCCAATTCTTTAGACACTTCCACAAATGGTTTGATGTTTCTTGATCGATGTATTTGTGGAGGTATCTCTAAAATGACGTACGAAATGAAATCATCAGAGCTAGAGAGTGATAAGTATGAGTTAGAATTTAATTTGCGTGAATTAGAAAAAGAAAATGTAGATCTGTCAGAACGAGTATCAGGATTGGAAGCTCAACTAAGGCATTTGACTGATGCAATGGAATTCAATCGTTTGGAACTGCAGCATTCTGGTAATCGTGTTGTGAGCCTTGAGAGCAAGATTAGAAAATTAGAACATCAAAAGGAGTCACAAAAGCTCGATTTGAAAGAGCAGTTGCTGGAGATGCAAAAGCGATGGTTAGATGCTCAAGAAGAGTGTGAGTATCTGAAGAAAGTAAATCCAAAGCTCCAAGCAACAACAGAAAGTCTTATGGAAGAGTGTCGTTTGCTTCAAAACTTGAATGCAGAACTAAGGCAACAAAAATTAAAATTACATGCGAGCCATAATGTTTTGGAAGCAGAATTGAGGAAATCTCAGCATTCTCTCTCCACCTGTTTGAAAAGGATAGAGTCTTTAGAAGCTAACTTTTCTTCAGTGATGGAAGAGATTGAATCAAAAGAGAAGATCCTTAAGTTCAAACTTGACGATCTCCACTTACAGAGTAGAGAGCATGGAGAGAAATTTCTTGTAGAAGGGTGCACTCTGTGTGAAATGTCTCCCGAGAACACAGTTGAAGTCGAAAAGTTGCAAGAACAGGTACAATCCCTGATGGTAGAGATGTCAAATCTTATGAGTGAACTTGGTACTTCCAAAGCCAAGGAGGGAACTTTGGCAGCAAATTGTGATAAGCTATTGAGGATGATGGAACATCTTGTATCCAGTGAAGCAAAGCTTAAATGCACCATTAATGAGCTTGAGTCAAAACTACTGTCTTCTGAATGTCAACTGCTGCAAATGACTGATGAGAATTCTAGCCTAAAGATTCAACTGCATACATTACCATTACTTCAGGAGGAAGTTTTGTATCTTAAAGAAGCACTATCTGGGATGAAGTTTGAAAGTGAGAGAACACAAGTTACACTGTTGTTGAAATATGGAGATTGTGAAGAGTTGAAGGACGAGAAGGCATCATTACTTCAGGAAATCACCTGCATGCAGAAGGAAGTGGCTAAAGCAGAAAAATGCAAATACAAGACAATTGCACTAGAGGAGAAAGTTCTGAGGCTGGAAGGAGACTTAACTGCAAAAGAAGTAATGTGTGCCAAAGTTTCCGAGCTGAAAAATGAGCTTTGCCAGCTTAGAAGATCAAATAGCCAACTTCTGTGGAAAATAAAATCCCTTCAATTCGAGAAGGAGAACTGCTTGAAGCAAGTCACATCCCTAGAGAAAAAATTGTCGAAAAAACGACCAGACAACCAAAGAGAGGATGATGATACCGTTCCTACTCTAGATGAGTTGAAGTTCCCAAAGGTGAATCAAGTTACTTCTCTTATATAAACTTGGAGTTAATGATACAGTAGCAATGAATCTGACTTTTGTTTTGTTTTCTGAAAAAACAGGCCGAGGAAGAGAACTTCAGCAAGCATCAGCATGAGATAATTACTCAATCTCTTCAATCGGAGAAATACTTGAAAGTTCAAAAGATTCAAGGCAACTCTCAACAAGTACGTCGTACTAAAACTATTCTCATTCCTTTGTTTTCCTCAGTGTGTAAATATGTACTCATTACTTTCATTTCAGGAAAAATATAATTAATATAATTTCCTTCTCTTTATTAACCTCATGACATTCCCCCGTATCTATTTAGAATGGAAACAAAGAAAGCAATTACTACAGAGATCTTCAAGAGACTCTTGCCAAAAGTGTATCAGCGAAACAATCTCCGGGCGATACAGTAGCTCAGACTTTAGACAGCAATCATATCCATAAATCCCATCTAATTAGGTGAGCTAGTTCTTTCCTGAGCTTTGGTTGTGTTCTCATGATGCTTATGTCTTATGATCTTACTCCGCTACTGGTAAAATCCATCTAGTCTGATTATTCTTTTGAAAACTGTTAACCAGTTATAGCGACAAATCGGCATTATCAAAAGGAAACTGATTAAGCTACCAGTTGAGTTGCCAATCCTTAACAATACCTTTCTAAGGATAGAATAAGATTATCATTGGCCGGAGCTACAGTTCTGCTTACATGTTAACCAGAACCCAATAACCTTTGGCCCAGACTTGTATTTTTGTTTAAAATCCACTTAATCTCCTCTATGTGCTTGTTTTATTCTGTAGAATCAGAAATACTTATCTGCATTATCGACTAACAGTATGTATGATCAACTTACTATTGTAATCTAATTAATTATTAATCCATATCTTTGTATCTTCAGTTTGTCATCCAAAGGAAGAGATGATAATACGCAAAAAATATCTCAGCTTGAAGCTGAGCTACAAGAAATTCGTGATAGGTACCTGAAGATAAGTCTTAAATATGCAGAAGTGGAGGATCAGCGCGAGCAACTTGTAATGACTTTGAAAGCCATACATGATGAGAAGACATCTACAGGATACCGTAGCCTTTCCTCTTTCTGGTAAACTGGTGCTGATATGTGACAATTTTTCTCCGGTACGCCATTTTCATACACAGCTCATTCAATGAAAGAATTGTATAAATAATTCTAAAATGTGCCAATCGCCATATAGAGTAGCAAATTGTTAGATAGTTTGTGATCCACTTTGCTGCAGGAGTCATTATTTAGCAGAGAAAAAAGAAGTTTATTTCTGCCATTATTGTACATGATTGGTCTAGGTAATTATTCAGATGCATCCTACAAACTAAGCAATAAATATTATTTTTCCTTCTTTCCTTTCTATTATGCAGAGACTATTAGTTATGTTGATATTAGTTATTTCATCTTTTCTTTCAAGTTATGCGTGATCCACAATTGCAAACTAAATATCGTATAGATTTTATACGTAAATTAATACATGTAGTTATTTCTTTACTATGAAACGACCCTTAACTGCACTGAGGTAACAAAGAAAGACAAAAAAGAAGGAGTCTAATATGTTCCAGTTTTTAATGATTTTGTAATTTATGCTATTGAATATTATGTAGTCCTGATCTTTTAATTGTTTTTTTTTAAAAAAAAAAGAAGTATTTTATGCTATTGGATTATACATTCGTTTTACAGTTTTTTGAATTTCGATAATAAAATTGGTCAAAGGTTACCCTCTTCTGTGATTTATCCTAATTAACTACTCAAAACTTTGCACCTACATACTACTATATCTTAAATCCTCTTCTATTGTTTCGATGTGGCTAATTTACTAATATTAGTGATCATGGGTCTTTTTTGTTTTGTATTTCCAACTTATTGGGCTCAATTTTCAGTTCTTTTTTGCCCAAAAAGAAAATTGTCATAGCTCTGCTCAATCTCTACTTATAGTAGTACAATTTACTATGTATTTTTCCAAAACAATATATTACTGCTTGCTGTTTCATTTATTGCGTTTTGCTATTTCTTTGTCATATTTTTTTCATGGCTCTCTGTTTGAATGTATTGCATCACATAATGGGTGGGAGGAATATATCCAAAAGGAGATAAAAATATATCCAAAAGAGGATAGCAGCAAAGATTTTTGTTATTTTTCTAAATAATAGAAAATTTTAGAGATTATGATATCTTAAATTGCATATTCATGTAATTTTTCCTACTCTTTTTTATGCGAGCCTACGTGCAGTGCTTCTCTATTGAACCGATCAATCCATCAAAAAAAAAAGTCTCCCAACCAGCACAAAGATCGATATAAAATTTGTGTACATACATATTACCCTTATCGAACCTCACCTGTACAATTACACTGATTATATTATTGTTGTAATAAAATTATCCCCATGAAATGACGGTAGAGCATTCCTCTTTCTTCTAAAGCAATGGTAAATAAAAAAGAATTTTATTTACGAATGAATGATGCAAAAAAAGTGCCTTTCGTTTTTCCAATTACACATTTGCATAGCATTCCATAATATATAATTAGAAGAAGATAGGCAAAAGTAAATAAACACTCTACAGAATAACAGAAGCTTGGTAGAGGGAGCATTACAACTCCTCTTACACCTACCTTACCAACCTTCTCTCTTCACCCTCCTATCCCTTTCGACTTTTTTCTTTTTTTTACAGTATTGAGTAAGCTCGTATCACCTCAACAATGGGTGCGCGACACAACGGACACTTCCCTCCGCCTCTCACCAATTCATTTGCACATTTTGAACAAGTGCACATGTGCCCACATCTGTCAATTGGAGGAAAATACATTTAAACTATTGATTTCATTTACTCAAAACTATATATCGTGATTAGATCACTATATATAAAAAGATCGGTGGGATTAGTAGCCTAGGCGAGAAAAGGCTGGTTATAGGTAAAACAGGTTAAATGAATTAATAATGGGAAATTATATACACTATTGGCATTACATAAGTTGAATCCAGTTAAGATTTCATTAAAATTGCAAAATATGACTCGTACCTGTACAACAAGGAGTCGATGTGACTATCACAACAAACACAGCAAGTACCCTTTTTCACGTTGCCCCACTTAGAACCATCGACTGAGGTCTCTGCAGCCCCTGGTTTAAATTTGCATTCCAAACCCAATTAGATGGGGGGAAAAAGTGGTATAATAAAACAGAGGGTTAGAAGATGTTCGACATTTATAAGCAGCATTAACATTTCATAATACCATAGATTGACGAACATACCTTGACCACCAGCTGATCGATTCAAAGCAGCTGAAACTTCCTGCCTGACAGAGCGTTGTAGCTCCAGTTGCATATCCATGCAGGATTCTAACATTCTTTGCATGTGGTTCATGCCTTGCTGCAGTCTTGCCATGTCTGCTCTAAGTTCATTAATCATTTCCCACTCCTGCTCCACAACAGCACCAAGTAAGCTCATAATACAGTGACATACGACTTCTGCATTTTTATAGAAGATGTAGATTCTGCCATAAAAACTTAATAATTTAAAACAATTACCAATTGTCTGGCATAAAAAGAAGAAAATCTCTTCTTATTCACGACAAGCACCAACCGAGATGCATTCTCGTTTCTAATACAGGTAAAGACTACCAGAATTGTGAAAAATTAGGAAGATCAACAGAATTGGAAAAGATGGTTGAAATGATCTTGGAACATGTTGCTTCACTATCACTAGTTGCTAAAGAGGACGCCTAGCCTAATTTTAATTTTTGTTGTATATTAGTAGAAAAAGTGATAATTTGAAAAATATTATCAATCGCCTGGCTTGATCAGAATATCATCTGCTTTTCTCATTGGCAAAATACATTAACTTAAACAGGATTTCCTTTTTGATACTGGTATGTACAGATTGCTGATTTCTGAAACTTGATAAAATAAAGAGAACAGAAGAAATAGTACAAAAGATCATGGCGCCAATCACCCATCAGTAAAGAATATACCCAGAGTAGTTTTTGATTTTTTGTATGTGTTGGACCCAAGTCTTCTAACTAAATTACACAGATTAGGTATCAAGATCAATACTATCATATATATCATAGTTGATGCTGAATGGAAGCATACAACTCCAAGAACGAAGGAATATCTTCCTTTTTTTATTTTTGATAAGCAGGATGAAGCAGGTGACTTACAAGTTCAGAACGATGCACTGCGTGACGTGGCCAACTTGAGTGATGCAAATCCTGATGCCAAAGTGGCTGGGGTGGTGGCACAGGAGGAGAGGGTAGTACAATTGAAGGCCGCCCAACTCCATCCTGCTGATCATCATTTTGGTCATCATTATGCTGGTCTGGACCCATTTCAGGTGAAACAGGAATAGGCAAGTTCCGATGCAGATCCCAATCAATAGGAGAGCGCCCTTGCCTTTCCACATATGACTGAATTAATTGATCTAAACTTTCACGGAAACCACTGCGAAGAAGGTTGGAAACACTCCTCCTACCCAACAAAGACTTCCAATAAACAACAGACCAAAAGTATGCCTAGGAAGGCATGGAGTGGGAAAACACAATCAAGAAATAAATTTTACCTGCTAAGAAGCTCTCTAAGTTCCATACTGTACACATTATCATCATCAGGTGGGTGGAATCTACTAACTCTCCTTATCGGGACAGGACGCCGCATTCGTGGAGGATCAGAAGGTCCTGCTGACCAAGACTCCACAGCTTCTCGTGAGGCATCCTCATGCCAAACCTCCTGGTTTTCTGGGAAACGATGTTCTGCTCTCCCCACATATGCTGTTGTTTCAAGGGACCTACCAGTTGATGGATTTTCTTGCCAATTCCTGCTTACATTCTCTGTGGTCTCATCAGTCCATACATTAGAATCATTTGATGTTAAATTACGTTGTTGTATTGCTTCCTCAGCTTCAACAACAGCTTCCACTCGATCCCTTCCTTGATTAGGAGGAGGTTGTTGATTCATACTCTGACCAGAATTCTCACTGCGATCAGGCAACTGATGCACAGTGCTCTCCAGCTCGCTGGTCTGCATTTGTTCACCATTTTCGTCCTCGACTTCCTGTGAAGGATGTGCATGAGTCTGATTATTTCTACAATCACTGTTCCTACTATTAGATGAATTTTCAGAACTGCTGCTTACTTGACCACGCACAATGTTTTCTAATCTGGAGCGGAATCCTTCCCTGGTTTAGAAAAAAGATCACCAACTCATGAATTGAACTGACAAATATTATCATTTCCAACTGAGTAAAGAGCTAGACATCAAATTTGTTAAATGGACAAGTTGAGAAAGAAGTAAGAAAGAGTCCCTCATTAGGTCTAGGGACTGAATACCACCAATCACCACAGAAAATATCTCATGCAAAGATGTAACTAATCAAGTGCTTGTAAGTGAGACAGAACAATTAGGATACTTCAAATGTTTATTCCACAGAGGCTAATTTCCTCTAAGCCTGTAGTACTTTCCAGATCTGCTAATTAAATAACTATAAAATTGGAACAAGGCAGCAATACAAGCATCACCATATGCACTTACAACAACACCACAATACCAGTTCCGATAATAATAGTTATTATTATTATAACTAAACATCAGTATAATCAGGACAACATTCAGTATTACATGCATGCTAAGACCATAAAACATTTGAGTGTTCCTATAGAGTTAGTTTTGTGAGAGACTGGTGAAATGTCACAAGCTACTTTTCTTTTTATGACACTGGTGTCCGAGCAGATATGCGCGCCAAGTCTAGAAGCTACGTTATCTTTTATTTTATTCTATTTGTTTTCAGAAAGTCCTTTTAATTTATATTTACTCAGTTTACAGATGGTAAACACATATCAAGTCATTTCAGATGTTTTTAATGTGTGAAAGAAAAGAACTTCAAATCCTTCCACCAATGAATTATATGTTATTGCTACATGGGAAAAGGAGGGGGAAACGCTTTACACAAAAAAAAGCTCCAATCACCTACTCCGTTCCTCCCAACTTGATGTCCAGATAGAGAAAGTGACAAAAACAGAGGAAGTGACGAAAAAACATTAATGTAACCACCTTTTTTCAGGAAATGGACATTAATTAGGGACCGTTTCCTTTTCCTTTTTATCTTTTTGTTACTGTATTGACTTGAGTGAAGTTTATGGCTTATCAAAATCAATTCACTTCCTGGTGTCATGTAGTAATAAAGAAAAAGGGGGGAAATAGCAAAGAAAAGATAACAAAACTTCATAAAAATAGAAAGGGGAAACCACAGATACAATTTGACAACACTTTTAAAGAGAGAAACCACCCAAAGTGAAGCTTCAAAGCAACAACTTTTTACTACTAATTTCGATAAACAAATGGCAGCAGTGGATCTCTAAATGTGATACCAACTAGTGTTGAGTTTAAACATAAC